ACTTTTTGCTATTTTACCATTTACTCACGTATCTGCATGAGAGGACATCAGTGTTCATAACTCAAGATTTTATCTATTGCCGCATGCTACAACATAAAAAAAAAAAAAAAAAAAAGAGAGATGCACATAATCACTGTAGAATAACCCTGAAGACTTTTACCAAATGTTAAACATCAAGAATGTATCATGTGCAAGTGCCAGATTTGAAAGAATCATGCAGCTTTACTATTTGCTGTACTATTTGGAACATATTATTGCCAGTCACATACAGCAAGATGCATGCTGATTCATGCTCAGAAAAGCAACGTTTTTTTTCTTTCAAATACAATTTTTTTGAAGTGATAAAGCTAATGCAGAAACCATGACACTTACCCCTGATATCCTGGTCTGTGCTTAGTCTAGATTTAAAACTGAGATCTGCTGTGACTGCTTTCATCCTTTATATGTTTCTGTGAGAAGAGCTTGTACATGCTCAACCCCAGTGATTGCTGATGCTCAAAAGGAGATGGACATACCTCTAGTGGAATAAATCCTGACAGTATCATCCCAAATAATTATATCTGCTCTAGAATGAAGTATTTCTCTCTCTCTCTCTCTCTCTCTCTCTCTCTCTCTCTCTCTCTCTCTCCCCCTCTCTCCCTCTCTCCCTCTCTCCCTCTCCCTCTCTTCCTCTCTCCCTCTCTCTCTCTCTAGACAGTGATTCTGCAGTGTTTCTGGAATTCTCTATGCAAAACTGTGTCTCAAAGAAAAATTTTCTTTCAACTGTGTGCACTGTTATGTGCTTCTGTTAGTTACACCCTAGTCTAAARTGGGGACAGTGACACTGGTCTGGATCAGAATAGTTTTTTCTTCTTAAACTGGACAGGAARGGCTGCAGGGAGAAAACTGAGGCTTAATTATTTGTGTAATATTGTTTGATGTTTTCTTTAGGTATATTCCATGGAGGCTAATCATCCAGAGTTTACAATACTGACTTTTGAAGACTTAGTTGCATCCGGTATTCCATTCACACCTGAGGATTCTGCATATTGGGATAATTTTTGTTCTAAGCAGGAGAGTCCAACAAAACAGAATTTGCATTCAAGATAAGAGTATGTATAAGAAAAAGAAATGTCRGAAGTCTCATATTTTTCCACCTAATTCAGGTCATGGGAATAGCTGTACATGTTTAGATGAGAAATATTTTTTCTTCATTTAATCCAGCAGTAGGATTCTCATCTTGTCCAATCTAAAGATGTATACTGTCTTGCTGAAAGAGTTCTGAGTGAAAAGTCTAAGTGATCACATGCCTTTCCCTTTCCTTGCCAGTGATTCTTACATCTCAGTGCTTATTACCTTTGCTAGGAGCAGCAAGCAGAGCTACATTAATATTGTTGAATCAACAATTGTTTAATATATAAAGGAAAATGTATTTATTTCTACTGGCATTTGAATTGTGATATTACCACTACTCTTACAAAATATTTTTTTCTCAGCAGTTTGAATAAAGCCAAAAGAATTGGTAGAAATGCTTCTACTGTAACTGTTTGGTACAAGTATTGTACAAAATCTGAGGTTTATTTTTTACAGTTGCAGGCTGAAGAAGGCAGAATTTCATAATTCTTCAAATTTCATCTGTGTAAAACTAGCTTGAGAAGGTTATATAGGAGTTTCATATGCTTTTCTCTTACAATCGCCTTTAATTAAAGCCCCATGTATGTGGTTGTGGTTTTTTTACTCTATTTTTTTCTCTGAAAGTAGATACTTTTCTAACAACAATTGTATATTTCTAGACTTGCACTTCTGTACTGTACTATWCACTAGCACCTGGTGGTGCTGGAATAGTGAGCATTTCTGATAGTCTTATAGTAACTAAATACAGATTATTTTCTTGTCTTATGATAAAGATTTCTGGAGAAGATATGTAGATCTTCTGTGCAGCATGTGAATATTTTGTATGCTTTTTCAAATGCATTCCTAATTTGTGCTGTCTTCTCCCCTTCTCGCCCCCTTCCCCCCGAAGAGTCATAGCTAGGTTGTGGTTTCTGAACAGTTGTAAACAGGAGACCTTTGTGSATGCTTGAGGCGTTCTTGGGAAAATGTAAACGCAAAAAGAGAGCATCCGTAATGTGGAAGAAGGGCCAAGCCACATGGGAACAATATAGGAAYAGTGTCAGAGAATGCAGGRATGCAATGAGGAAGGCCAAGGCGTGTTTGGAATTACAGGTAGTGAGACATGTTGGGGACAACAGGAAGGGCTTCTACAAATACATCAACAGAAGGAGGAAGACCAGGGAAAATGTTAGTCCACTGCWKAAYGGGGAGGGCGCCTTGGTGATGGAGGACACAGACAAGGCAGAATTATTAAATGCCTTCTTTGCTTCTCTCATGACTGCTAAGGATAATCCCCAAGAACTACAGAGCCTGGCGACAAGAGAGACAACAAGGAGAGAGGAAGACTTTCCACTGATTGTGGACAATTGGGTTAGGGATTATTTAAGCAAATCTATGGGCCCAGGTGGGATGCACCCAAGAGTGCTGAAGGARCTAGTGCGGGTTGTTGCACAGCAGCTCTCCATCATCTTTGAGAGGTCCTGGAGAGCAGGAGAGGTGCCGGAGGACTGGAAGAAACCAACACCACTCCAGTCTTCAAAAAGAGCAAGAGGGAGGAGCCGGGCAACTACAGGCTGGTCAGCCTCACCTCCATCCCAGGAAAGGTGATGGAGCAGCTCCACTGAGCTAGAGCGTCTTTAGGCATGTGAAGGAGAAGGAGGTGTCCAGAAGTAGTCAGCATGGATTCACCAAGGAGAAATCATGTTTGAGGAACCTGACAGCCTTCTACAATGGGATGACTGGATGAATAGTTGATGGGAGAGCCATGAATATTGCCTACCTTCACTTCAGCAAGGCTATCCACACTGTCTCCCATAACGTCCTCATGGGCAGACTCAGGAAGTATGGGTTGGATGAGTGGACAGTGAAGTGAATTTGAGAACTGACTGGATGGCAGAGCTCAGAGGGTGGTTAAAATGAGGCCGAGTCTCGTTGGAGACCTGTGGCCAGTGGTGTCCCTCAGAGGTCAGTACTGGGCCCAGTGCTGTTCAGCTTGTTCATCAGTGACCTGGACGAAGGCWCTGAGTGCACCCTGAGCAAGTTTGCAGATGAYACCAAGCTGGGTGGAGTGGCCRACACTCCRGAGGGYTGTGCTGCCATCCAGAGGGACCTGGACAGGCTGGWGAGTTGGGCRGAGAGGAACCTCATGAGGTTCAATAAGGACAAGTGCAGGGTCCTGCACCTGGGGAGGAATAACCCCAGGCAYCAGTACAGATTAGGGGTCAACCTGCTGGAGAGCAGCTCCACAGAGAGGGACCTGGGAATCCTGGTTGACACTAAGTTAACCATGAGTSAGCAGTGTGCCCTCGTGGCCAAGAAGACCAATGGGATCCTGGCTGCATCAGGAGGATGTTGCCAGCAGGTCAAGGGAGGGGATCCTGCCCCTCTCCTCAGCTCTGGTGAGGCCGCCCCTGGAGTATTGGGKGCAGTTCTGGGCTCCCCAGGACAAGAGGGATGTGGAGCTTCTAGAGAGGGTCCAAAGGAGAGCGACAAAGATGATTAAGGAACTGGAACATCTGGAATATGAGGAAAGACTAAGTAAGCTGTGTCTGTTTAACCTGGAGAAGAGAAGATTGAGAAGGTGGATCTTATCAATATGTACAAATACCTGAGGGGAGAAAGTAGGGAGAATGGGGCCAAACTCTCCTCGCTGGTGGATAGTGACAGGTCAAAGGGTAATGGGTGCAAATTGAAACACAAGTAATTCCATCTCCATGTGAGGAAGAACTTCTTTCCTGTGAGGGTGACAGAGCCCTGGAAGAGGCTGYCCAGGGAGGTTGTGGAGTCTCCTTCTCTGGAGATCTTCCAAACCTGCCTGGATGCCACCATGTGCTCCATGCTCTGGGTGTCCCTGCTGGAGCAGGAAGGTTGGACTGGATAATCTCTTGGATGTCCCTTCCAACCTTAACCATTCTGTGATTCTCTGTAACCATAAGAAGCATCCTGAACAGAATAATTGTCACTGCTCACAGAATTTATTTATCTCTGCAGTTAAGCATGCATTTTCAATGAGTTCAGGTCAATGTCCAGTTTAGTCATTATCTGTGCTCTGACCAAAGGAAAATCCAGTACCATAACTACTGAAGTAATTCCTTATTACAAAGATAAATAAAAGGTTAAAGAAAGAAGAAAATGACCTTTTACAATATAGTGGATTTACTATAGATATTCCTAAATTCAAATATGCTGTTAAACTTTACTACTTCTGGCAGTTTTGATTAATATTTTTTTTTCTATTTCATTATCCTTCTCATCTTGCATGGTAATCATAGCTTTTTTTTTCCAAAACTGCAAATCAGTTAAAAAATACTTCTTATCTTTGAATTCCCTAAAAGCTAAATTAGATGTTCAGTAGCTTCAAGTTTGAACTTAACAGAAATGTAGGATAGTTCTTTATGCATTACAAGTAAAATATTCAGAGTGGTTTAAAAGATTAAATATAACTTTCAACGATTAATCAGAATTTCATGGAGGACAGCAAAGGCTTGTCAGAGGATATGAAGCAATCTTGTTTATTCACAGAAGATATTTATAATTGTTCCGGTKGACTCCATTTTATTCTGTTCTACATGGAAGATACTGTAATTCAGATATGCMAGCAGTTGTAAAGGTGCCCGAGAGATGAGATAGCTAGCACGGTAGAGAAAAATGATTTATTCTGCCTCAGTTTTTGGAAGAATGCAAAGTACTCAGAGTAAGGAGAGTTCCATGTTTGCATATTTATTCCTGCTGCAGGGCCCCATCAGTTGCAGCTTTACCAGCCCAGTTAAATTGCAAAGTTTTGAGCTGGACCTGGAAATAGACTGCAGGTATGAGGTGAAATGAGAGCTTTCCAGTCTACATTTTTGGGTATCAATGAATTTTATTTTAGAAATAAGTTGGTTTTGCCTCTTGATAGTGTTTCACATTATTTTTTTTCCATTGGAAAGAMTTTAAATTTTAGAAGTATTTAGAAATTATTAAATTTACAAGTATTAGGGAAATGACTGCATTTATGCAATCTCCCCCTCCCTGTATATGGGGTTAAGCAAYTTTATTAAATTAGAAATTTGCGCTTGGTTTACTGGCCAATAATATGATTAATTTTCAGCACTTCATCTAATTAGAAAGGCTAGAACCACAAAGACATTTGTTCTGGTTAACTTTTCCTGAAATAAAAACCTAGTTTCTACAGATTCAGACCAAATCGTTCAGAAGATTTGCAGTTCCTTGCATTGTGATTTTTACCCAGCTTTTGCTTTACATTGCTATTTGAAAGATTAATCTTTTTTAAACCTTGTGAAGAGACTAGAGTCATGTTTTTAGTTTCAATGCCCACTAAAAKACTTTTTCTGCTCGTTTCCATCCCCATTCTGCTTGTAGTACCCAATTGTATCTGTAAGTCTTCAGACTTTCAGGTTTCTTCTCCACAACTCCCTTCCTTAATCTGTTTTATTTATTTTCCATTACATTGACCTGGCTACAACACACAGTGGTATCGTGAAGGGTAAGGAACTGCAACAGTGTAAGCTCTGCTTGCTGTGAGCCCTTCCCAGCAGGTGCAGTGGCTGGGGAGTACAAAGAGGCTYATCTGCACCAAATGGGCAAAGGACCTGACTCTTTGGCACAAATGGGTCTTATCTGTCCTAAGGAAACAGACCTGTGGTCCAAATGGGCCTCCTTATCTCTCCTCCTCTGAACACTCATCCATCATTTGACTTCACATGACAATATATTCAACACAAAATATGGCTATTTAGTTTAATCTTTTCATATTATTCTTCAGTGAACAGATTTTCAGAATTAGTTAAATGTGTTTAGCTTGGGCATATTTCCATATTTGAAACCTTTATGTATTTTGCATAGAAAAGATGTTATAGTAGATTGCAAAGTTTTAAGTGACAAAAAGGCTTTTTCATACACTTTCCAGCTGCACAGTAAGAGACTAGTGACATTCAGCATGAAAATGTACAGCTTTGAAATTTGGATCATAAACATCCAGCACTCCTTCAGCATTTCCTTAAGTCTGTAAAGCTATGAATAGTATATCTGGTCATTGTATTACGGAATCAAATGTACTCATCTTAATCAAGTCCACTGAATTTAGTCAAACAAGCAACAGTAGATGTAGTGGCAAAAGTAATCTAAGCATGATAGAACTCCTAGGCTATTGAAAACATCTGGGCAACACACCTTTAAAAATAATCTGTGCCTTAGTGCAATAAAAATCTGGTATGCAAGGAAAGGTTAGTTAGGAGAGGATTCTTCAAATGAACACAGACTCTCTTTACTGGAGCATTCCAAAGCCATAGTACTACATTCAGTACATCGGTACAGAAAATAAGCCTGTGGACAAATTGTTACAGTCAAGTCTAAAATAGTGATTAAAGCTTCCCTGCTTAACCTTTCCTTAAATCTCCAGGTGCCTAAACATACTAGTTGGCTGTAATTTTACTTCTGGGCATATTCCTCCAGAACACACATAGTTCAGATTGTTATACACTATATAGAAAATGTATGTATGAAACTCTATTCTCCAGCTTCATCTCAAGGAAGATATTATCTTAAAACTTTTTTTTTGGTATATGACAGCATATTGTGTCTACTGTCAGACAGTTGTGTCTACTGTTTATTTATTGTCAAACAGTATGTGTAACATATCTGCTATGATTGAGTTTTAATTTCTACTGAAATAAAAAATAATTTATGTTGGTGTGCTCTTCTTTTGTAAAGTTGATTGTTTTTGTAGCTCTGCCTTTCTGAGTTGTATTTTAATCTCATTATTTAGAAGCAGAMATAGATGGGATTACTGAATTGCTAATGTAACCTCAGTGTCTTTTTTTGAAACAATTTATGGGAAGGCGTCAGTATGGTCCTGGAGATATC